GTTTCAAGGTTACACATAGCTACTTGGACAAGAGACACCAAAAATATATGCGATCGTAATTAATAGCGATGGTAATAGTCGCAATAATAATAATCATAATAATCATAATAATAATCATAATAATAATAATAGTAATAATAATAATAATGATTAATGATAATAATAATAATAATAATGGCGATGACGATGGTAGTAATAATAACCAGAATAATAATAATAATCATAATAAGTGTAATATACGTGATAATAACTATGAGAAGGATTAATCGTTTATAATAGCGAATGTAAACTATACGTGTTGTGTAAGAGCTTTTACCCTAATACTCGGGTGACTGTACTCGTTTTACACGCACGGTTCATCGCCGTCCCGCGAGCATCTGTTGTCTCCGATCCGAAAGCCCGTTCTCGCCCGGCCCAATCAATCGATTTACTACCACCCGGGCCCCACTCAACCGACCCCGTCTTCGCAGACGTAATCGGACAAATGTTGCATCGAGCGTCGCTGTTCATCAGCAATTTGTTCATCCGTGTCGTCGAATCAAAAAAAGGTCGTGAGTGCGAATCAAAAAAAATTCGAGCGCTCCAAAAAAACACAGAGCTCGCGACAAAAAAACGAACCGGTGCTCGTTACTACTCTCGTTCGATGGAAATATAATATAACCCCGAAGCGACGGACAGGAGGTCATCCAAGTCGGCGTCCGCTTGTTATTCACGCTCGTCGATGCTCGCGGAGACGTCCGGACGTCGCGGCGACGCCCGACGCGGCGAACCGTCGCACGGTACAGTTGCACTGAATCGTACATTTTATACGTGTGTATGTGTATGTATATATATATAAATATATATAATTTGCACTAATCATCGAGATCCTCATCGGCCCGGCATCGGGGCACCCGCCCGCCCAGTCCCGTCCCGGCTCGTCACCCCCACCCCTCCCCATCGGCGAACGGTTTCTCGCGTTCGCCGAGGAGAAAGTGGGCGACGACGGGCCCCGGGCGTTGGGCCAGGCGAGGACGCGACCGCGACGCTCGCGGGCTTCGAATAAATAAGACAAGATAAAATCAAATGAAAGAAAGTAAAGTAAAATAAAATCTTAGCGGTTATCGTCCTGCTGCTCTCGAGGACCTTTGCGGTTCAAAAGTGGGGCGGTCGGCTGGCCGAGCGTTTATAGAACGTTTCTCGCTTTGTTTTCTTTTTTTTTTTTCTTTCCCCCACCTGTTTCGGCGACCAAGTCGGCGAGAGAGAGACCGACTTTAAACGTCCGCGCGTTCGCCACCCCCGTCCCTCCATCCCTTGCCCCACTCCCTCCCCATGGACTAGACACAAAAATGTATACATAAATAGGACAACATATATACGCGCTACGCTCTCGTCTCTGCCGTCGCGCTTCGTCTCCGATCGCGACCACGCTAAATATTCTACGAAAACCTAAGAGACTCTTCTCCTCGTCGCATCCGCCATCTCTTCCGCCTTTTACTTACGATATTTAAGTACTTACATTGTACACCGAGCCGGCTCGCGCGTCCACCATACACGCGTGTACGTACGTGCGTTATTTACGTGGCTTATTTACGTGGCTGGGTTTCCGCGACGCGTTTTCGCCGCCGCCGCCGGAACGCTCGACGCGGAGCCGAGGATTCGCGAGCGGCGCGCCTCGCGTTGTTTACATTAATCGTGGAACTACATAATAATCGTGCGCCGAGCAATTCGTTCTCTAGATTCGCGAATCTAGGACTCCCGCGAAGGGGGGGGGGCCGGTTTCTCGCGAGCCGACTCGCTTGCCTATAAACGCGCACCACCGAAAACCGCGGCCTCGGCTCTCGATTTCGAGCCTCGCGCGACGCCGCTACGAATATATATATTATTATTATATATATTATTTATTATACATATAATTAATAATATATATAATTATATAATATATTATAATACAATATAATAAATAATATAATATAATATATATATATAATAATAATATAATATAATAATATAAATATAATATATTACATATATATTATATAATATATATTGTATATTATATATCGCGGTTTCCGCAGCGCAACGAGTTCCGAGTTACATGTAGACTAGACTGTGGTGTCTCGCGACGCACGACGGGGACCACCCGATCGAACGGATCGTCGCCCGACGCCCCGCGCCCCTATCACATAACCCCGTGGTGCACCGTCTCGAGCCGTTCGTCGACGAGCGCGCATCTTCCTCCTCCTCCTCCTCCTCTGTCGGCTTCGTCGCTTTCCTCTGTGTACGGTCGGGGCAACAAGCTCGCGTCGAGAAATAAACGAAAAAAGCAAAAAACCAAAAAAACGAAAAAACAAACCGAATCGAAAAGAAAAGAAAAATATAAAAAATAAAATTGAATTAAATTAAAATAAAATAAAATAAAATAAACTTGCGCAACGGCGCGCGAAACTGGACGGCCCGTGGCCAAAGCAAAATCTTCACCGGGAATCGCGGATTCCGTAGACTCCGAACGCGGTTTATCGCCGCGCGGAGAAGCGCACTGGAAAGCTTTCGCGACAGAATTCTCGCGGAACGTTCGCTAAGGAGTCGGCGTTTCCAAACCAGTCGACGACGGTCTTTCGTCGCGTTGAACGGGAAACGAAAAAAGAAAAGAACAAAAAGGAACAACCAAAAAAAAAAATAATAAATGATAAATAAATGAAGAATAAACGATAAATAAACGATAAATAAACGATAAATAAATGATAAAGCGTGAAACGAGGGGCGACACGTTGTCCGTGTCTGATATCCCGCAGAAGGAAATACCGCGACCGTGCCGTTTCTTTGTTTTTTCTTTTTTTTTTTAATCGAGAGAAATGCGCGCGCACGAGAGCCTTGACTTGACTAGCAGAACCGACGCAATCCCTCAGGGTCCCGATGGTGTTCGGCTCGTCGTCGTCGTCGACGGGCTACGAGATCACCTCGCTCCGTTATGCACATTTGCACTTACACTTAGTCACCTTAAATAGCGTACAATATCTATATATAGATACATATATGTTTCTATGCGCACGTATATGTACTTATATACACATACCATAATAATAATAGTAATAATAATAATAATAATAATAATAATAATAATAATAATAATATATATTATATATATATAATATAATATAATATATATATAGTATAATACATATTACTATATATAATATATAAATATATAATATAATACATATTACTATATATAATATATATATAATACATATAGTATATATTATTTCGTCTCTTCGGTTCTGGTCGGCGACGGCCGACCTTAATTCGTCTACGTCGAAAAGTGAAGACTTTTAAGTACGTCAATAACGCACGTCCGGGGACCGAAAACTCGGCAAAGAGAGATTCGGCATCCCCGTCTTCTCTCACCTTCGTATATAAACATGTACACCCAATACGCAAATTCGTGCGCGCGCGAGCACACGCGCGCACGAGAGAGAACGGCCCGCTCCGAAACTCCGGAGGAAAGCTCGTTCGTCGGAGAGAAAATCTCCGTCGACGGGTCGCACGTTGGTCCGCGTCTCCACTTGACACTTCTACCGTCCAAAAAAAAAATGCGTCGAGAGAACAAGACGATTGGCCGGTAGAACTGACCGGTGGACAGTCAGCTTCGGCCCTGACCAGTCCCCTCCCCCCACCATCCCGCGCATCATCCTTCGACCGGATCGATCGCATCCCCGATTATAACCCGCCCCTTCCTCCTCGCCCCGCCTCCTCTCATTCCACTCGCTCCTGGATTCCTCTCATCCTCCGACCTACGCAAACACAAACACGCGCGCAGCACACACAGGCATACACACACGCGGATACATACACGCGCACAGGACACACATATGCACGCACCGTGCGGTACTCGCGTGTCGCTCTGTGCTCTCACGCTCTCTCTCTCTCGCGCGTTCTCCCGTTCTCTCTATTTCTCTCTCGTGTTCTCTATTTCTCTCTCATGCTCTCTATTTCTCTCTCTCTCTCTCTCTCTCTCTCTCTCTTTCTCGAGCGCTCTGTCTCTCTCTCTCTTTCCGAGGCCAATCGATCGCGAAAACGCCGGGCGTCTTCGCCGTCGGCAGCCTTTGTCTTTCAAAATTTTCAACAAACAGAGAGCAGCCCCGGGTTTCTGGTGCTCGCAACGGCTCGTTCCCCCTCCCCTCTCCCTTCCCAAGCGAAATAGATCGAGCAGACGCTAACGTATGTATATCTAATATGTGCTGGCTTTCGGAGCCTGGACTGGTTCTTTCTGCAATCTTTGGTAAACTCGGTTGCGAGGACCCGAGCACCCGGGTGCTCCTCGGCTTTTTCTGGCTCTGTAGACTTCTCTCTACATATATATATGTAACTCTCGCTGTCTCTCTGGCTCTCAATGACTCCCTTTCCTTCCGTCGATCGATCGTTTACGTTCAGGACTCGCGGAGTTCTGTGTTCGGCGTCGCAGCGACGCGCGTCGTTTCGATCGCGAGGCAAAGAACCGGAAGCAGGTCGCGTGCCCAAAGATCCCATCTCCCTCTGCCCCACCCCGGCCCGCCACCTCCTCCTCCTCCCTCTCCCTCGTCCACGAGGTTTTTCCCCGCGCAGTTTCATCGATTTCACGGGCCGTGTGCGCACCGTGTGGCCCTCACCACCGGGTACATATACATAAATCATCGATATGTATGTACAAAAAGAGAGAGGGGGAGAGAGAGAGCGCGAGAAAGAGAGAGAGAGCGAGAAATCGAGGCGAACATTGGTCACGCGAGCCTGCCAGCTTGTCCTCTTCGGGTTTCTTCGAGCGTTTTCCGAAGGACGGAAAGAAAACGGAGAGAGAGAGCGAGAGAGAAAAAGACTGACAGAGAAAGAAAGAGCCTGAGAGAGAGAGAGAGAGAGAGAGAGAAGAGAAAGTGAGAAGGAGATGGAGCGCAACTAAAAATCGAACGATCGCTCCTCCTCCCACGAAATCGGAACAGTCGTCGCACGATGGAACTCGCCTCTCTCTCTCTCTCTCTCTCTCTCTCTCTCTCTTTCCCTCTCTAATCATCCATCGATTCTCCTCTCCTCCGCACATCGCTCCCGATCGTTCAGCACACACGCACGCACGCGCACGCATTATTTTAATATCTCTTATCTTTTTTCTCTATCTTTTTTACTTTTTTGGTATATCTCAGCCTCGCGCACGCTAATAACGCGCATCCACGCACATCCCCGGTGTAAATCTTTGGTTTATTATAAGCTGCCGCGCAGGCGCCGTTAGCCGGAACATTATTTCTCGCCGGCCAAAGAAGAAGAGGACAACAAAGAAGATTGTCGTCCGTCGTCGCGAGTCCGACGGACTCGTATTATATTCGGCTCGTGAGATCGACGATTCGCGGAATCGCGGTTTTTCTTTTTCTTTTTTTTATTCGTTTCTTTGTTATGTTTGTTTATTTGCTTGTTTGTAGAAGACGACCGGCTCGGCGCGACGCCGCGACCCGGCGCCTCTCGGGCTTGCTTGCTTTTGCTCTCTCTCTCTCTCTCTCTCTCTCTCTCTCTCTCTCTCTCTCTCTCTCTCTCTCTCTCTCTCTCTCTCTCTCTCTCTCTCTCTCTCTCTCTCTCTCTCTCTCTCTCTCTCTCTCTCTCTCTCTCTCTCTCTCTCTCTCTCTCTCTCTCTCTCTCTCTCTCTCTCTCTCTCTCTCTCTCTCTCTCTCTCTTAGTCGGAGTGAAGCGGGTCGGCTGCGTGGTTCTCGCGGTCCAGTTTGCTCCGACGCAGGCTCTTCGGGCTGTTCGGCGCGGAGGAGTTGGCGATGGTGTTCGCAGATGTCGCTAGGTTCCTCGTGACACGCCGGTAGTCCGCGAGGAAACGGCCGATCACACTGTACTGGTGCAACGGCCGCAGGTGATAGTAATGGTTCATCTTCTTCTGGCAGGCGTACGCGTACGATTTCGGCACGTTCACGGCCGTCGGGCTGGTCGCGACGCCGCCCGTCCCCTTGCCCGTGCCTCTGTTCGTCCCCTTGGTCGTGTTCGTTTTCGTATTCGTGTTCGGATTATTCGGGTTCGGGTTTGTTGTGTTCGTGTTTGTCGCCGCGATCGTCACTGTAGTACCATCGCCGCCGCCGCCGCCGCCGCCGCCTGCGCCTGCGCCGCCGCCGCCGCCGGTGGCGCCGCCGCTCGTTCCCGACGACTGCCGATGATCCTCATCCTTTCCCGATTGCTGTTTCGATTGCTGTTGTTGTTGTTGTTGTTGCTGGTGGTGGTGTTGTTGGTGGTGTTGGTGGTTGTTGTGTTGCGATTTTTGTTGCTGTTGTTGTTGTTGTTGGTGGTGGTGGTGGTGGTGGTGGTGGTGCTGTTGATCCGGTTGTTGCTTCGGTGGTATCGGTTTGATGGGTTGCTGCTGTTCCATGTCCTACGCCGCCTTGCTCTTGTTCGTCTTGAAGCTGACCTGGAGCACCCGGTTACCGAGCGTGTAACCGTTCAGGCTCTGGATCGCCACCACCGCCTCGTCGTAGTTGGTCATCGTCACGAAACCGAAACCCTTGCACTTGTTCGTCTGCAGGTCCCGGATCACTTTGACCGATTGGACGGCGCCGAACGGACCGAACAACTGCCACAGCACGTTCTCCTCGGTCTCCGGCGCCAGGTTGTAGACGAAGATGCACCAGCCGGAACCGTTCATCGCGTTCCCGGGTAGCATCGAGTTCGCCAGGAGATCACCTGCCAGCGGGCTGTACCTGAAACAGCCGAGCCGATCCGTGAAAACGCTCGCAAGCCGTGGGCCGCGCGCTACCGCGGGCCTGGTTCGGGGACCCCCGGTCGGGGGGGGGGGGGGGGGGGGGGAGCGTTGCATTGGGCATATTGGTCGGCCTACTTCGGGGACCCGGTCGACGGGGAGGGGCGAACTTTCTGATATTTGACCCTTTGCGCTGGAAGCTGTTTCGACTGTAGAACGAAGACGTTTTTTTTTTGAGATAAGGTAGTTTTATTTTGTACGATTTTTATTTTAATTGGAAGCGCGTGACGTTGAGTTTATTGGTTTATAGAGCATTTGTATTTAATAAATAATATTGATAGATATTTAAGTAATATCTGATTAATATCACATTTGCATTTAATAATAAGTAATAAATAACTTCCGTTTTTTATCAGACATTTAGTATGCTTTTCCTTTATTTTTTTTTTGCTTTCCGTTTATTTTTCTTTTGCTTTCTTTATCTCATTTGCATCGAATTTTATTTACTTATCTATTCGATGAAAGCAAAAACTCGTCAGTCCCGGTAACAATGGCGTAGCACGGACGCCGTTCGAGCGCAAAGGGTTAACTTCGAAATCGCGCGAGATCGTCGAGGAAACGCTGCGAATTGGACTCCCCGTCGATCGTTGCAGACGTCGTTGCAATGTCTCCGCGAGTAACGCTTTGCCCTAATCGCATGTCGCATAACGTTATCAATTGTCAAATTGACGATGCGCGGCGATCATAGATCGCAGTAATTTCTCCCCAATTTGCGCTCGGATTGCGCACGAAAATGGACAATTCGGGAAGAAGAGATACGGTTATTAGAAACCTTGCGTGCTCGTTTTTATAGTTAACGACAATCGGTTACTAATAATCGTATCTCCTCTTCCCGAATTGTCCATTTTCGTGCGCAATCTGAGCGCGAATTAGGGAGAAATTACTGCGATCTGCGATCGCCGCGCATCGTCAATTTGACAATTGATAGCGTTATGCAGAGAAATTACCGTATTCCATGTTTAAGACGCAGCGTGACGTAACATTCGCGCGATACATGATCGTATCGTTCGAGAGACATTGCAAGCAGCATCGTGCAAGTATCATCGATGTTCACAGACAATCATGACGGAAGAATCTGTCAACCGCATCGTTCCGACTCCGCCGAGCTGTTTCGCGCGACGATCGCGACCGACGACCGTTTCGCCGGAAACGGAACGGTTCCCGCGTCTGGCGCGACGTCGAGAGAAATTTGTCAAGGCGAGCGTCCATCCGAGAATAAAACTCTCGTCAATTGCTCTAGAGAGCGTCCCAAAATATTCCTGAGGTCATTCGAAACAACTTTCTCCTTAGCGAAAATGCGATCCGCGGCTTCGTTTACGAGTTATAAACGAAAAACGGTGACCAATCGAAGAGCGAGCGTTGCCGGCNGGGGGGGGGGGGGGGAGCGTTGCATTGGGCATATTGGTCGGCCTACTTCGGGGACCCGGTCGACGGGGAGGGGCGAACTTTCTGATATTTGACCCTTTGCGCTGGAAGCTGTTTCGACTGTAGAACGAAGACGTTTTTTTTTTGAGATAAGGTAGTTTTATTTTGTACGATTTTTATTTTAATTGGAAGCGCGTGACGTTGAGTTTATTGGTTTATAGAGCATTTGTATTTAATAAATAATATTGATAGATATTTAAGTAATATCTGATTAATATCACATTTGCATTTAATAATAAGTAATAAATAACTTCCGTTTTTTATCAGACATTTAGTATGCTTTTCCTTTATTTTTTTTTTGCTTTCCGTTTATTTTTCTTTTGCTTTCTTTATCTCATTTGCATCGAATTTTATTTACTTATCTATTCGATGAAAGCAAAAACTCGTCAGTCCCGGTAACAATGGCGTAGCACGGACGCCGTTCGAGCGCAAAGGGTTAACTTCGAAATCGCGCGAGATCGTCGAGGAAACGCTGCGAATTGGACTCCCCGTCGATCGTTGCAGACGTCGTTGCAATGTCTCCGCGAGTAACGCTTTGCCCTAATCGCATGTCGCATAACGTTATCAATTGTCAAATTGACGATGCGCGGCGATCATAGATCGCAGTAATTTCTCCCCAATTTGCGCTCGGATTGCGCACGAAAATGGACAATTCGGGAAGAAGAGATACGGTTATTAGAAACCTTGCGTGCTCGTTTTTATAGTTAACGACAATCGGTTACTAATAATCGTATCTCCTCTTCCCGAATTGTCCATTTTCGTGCGCAATCTGAGCGCGAATTAGGGAGAAATTACTGCGATCTGCGATCGCCGCGCATCGTCAATTTGACAATTGATAGCGTTATGCAGAGAAATTACCGTATTCCATGTTTAAGACGCAGCGTGACGTAACATTCGCGCGATACATGATCGTATCGTTCGAGAGACATTGCAAGCAGCATCGTGCAAGTATCATCGATGTTCACAGACAATCATGACGGAAGAATCTGTCAACCGCATCGTTCCGACTCCGCCGAGCTGTTTCGCGCGACGATCGCGACCGACGACCGTTTCGCCGGAAACGGAACGGTTCCCGCGTCTGGCGCGACGTCGAGAGAAATTTGTCAAGGCGAGCGTCCATCCGAGAATAAAACTCTCGTCAATTGCTCTAGAGAGCGTCCCAAAATATTCCTGAGGTCATTCGAAACAACTTTCTCCTTAGCGAAAATGCGATCCGCGGCTTCGTTTACGAGTTATAAACGAAAAACGGTGACCAATCGAAGAGCGAGCGTTGCCGGCGCAGCGGCAGTGGTCGCGAGGGCGGGGCGTCTGGCGCAGGAGCGGTGGTCGCGCGGCCGGCGCCCCGCCCGCGCGCGATCACTCATTAGTCACCGTTTTTCGTTGATAACTCGTAAACGGAGCGTCGGATCGCATTTTCGCTGAGGAAAAAGTTGCTCCAATTGACCCGAGAAATCCCTTATTACCATATTACGGGATATTTTTAGGACACTCTGTAGACGGTCGCCTTTCGAACGCGATCTCGGCGAAGCACAGCTCGGCGGAGCGATCGGCGGATCGCCGCGCGTCTGACGCGACGCGGCCGCATCTACTTAACGATGAAACAAAGTAAAAAACGCTACTGCCTCGTTCTGACGGACACCAGAAAGAAATAATAGAAATCAAGAAATCGGAAGGAAAAGAACAGAAGCAAAGGAAAACAGGCTGCTGCCGGCCCGCCGCCGTCTCTGCGAGTTCGAGAAAGAAAGCTGAACGAACCACCTCACCACTCGCGGTTCGAACAACAACAACAACGACGCCGGCGGCGGCGGGGGCCGAGAGACGGATGAAAGAATGAAAGAATGAAAGTATGGCAGATCGACAGAATGAAAGAATTGCGAGAATGAAAAGAGAACGAAACCGGAGTCGCATGCGCTGGCTCGTTTATAATCGGCATGCAAATGAATGAGTCGCCGCGGCGTATTTACAAGATCGTTAAAAAATGTATCTACGTACCTACTTGACGTCACAAGCCGCGTTAAAACAGGGCACATTTCAGTAAGTGTTCAAGTACAGTGTCGGGTGGGGCGGGGGGTGGGAGGACCAGGGGGTAATTCGTCGCCGGTGTAAATTAACGCGGTCTTGAATGATGACGCGAGAATAAACGCGAACGTGATCGCGATGCAATCGGCGCCGCTCGCTGCAAGGGCCGCGAATTTCGGGCTCGGCTCGCGGCGAATAATCGTCCGCCGTTCCGTTTGCATCGTGATTACGGCCGCGCATTGTGCGAAAAATGCATTGTTCTCGTTTTTCCACGCGCGTTTCCGTCGCGCGCGCGCGCGCGCTCGCGCGTCGGACGCTGCCGTTGTTTCAGCACTCAACCCCTAACACGAAAGTCTCCTCTCCGTGTTACTTTTCGTCCGCCATTGACTACTCTCTCTCTCTCTCTCGCTCTCTCTCTCTTTCTTTCTCTCTCTCTCTCTCCCTATCTCTCTCTTTCTCTCTTTTCTCTCTGCCTCTATCTTTTTTTTTGTCTACGAAGAACACGTCTCGATGGACGACCGATGAGAGTTCTCGCAAATTGCTGCGATTCAAGAAGAGAACGGGGGAGACTCGTTGTTACGGAAAGGCCACTGTGTCGCGTTAGGGGTGCACTTTTGCTCTTCTACCGTTATACCGTTCGAATATACGTGATCGATAGTTCTGCTATGGCAGTTTTCGAGCTGAAGCGTTACCATCATTGCGAACGGAACTGGGCAAAACTGATTTTTCGAGGAACTCCGGCAAGCTTTTTCAATTTCATCGATTGTTATTTTGAGTTCGAGGCGAGAGATCGCGGAGATTTTTAACCCTTGACCGGACTGACAATTGCAGTCAGTTGTTGCCTCAGCGAATATCGCGTATTTCAAAATTAGTGCACACGAGCGTTACGTCGAAACGTTACAGACTCGGTGGGAAAATAATTGCAGTAACGTTTTCTCGCGGATAAGTTTTTTTTAACCCTTTCAGAGCTAATTAAAATGAGACAATATAATATATATGGTACATACCATATATATATATTATATTATATTATATATTCGCATAATCTGAACGATATTCATGCAAGAAAAATATATGGTACATATATAATATAATATAATATAATATAATATAATATAATATATATATGGTACAATATATTTTTCTTGCATGAATATCATTCAGATTATGCGAGTTGCATTCGTAGTATGCTATTTATATTACAAATTGTATGAAGAGTATAGAAAATCAATTTTTTCTTTAATAATAAATGAACATAAATAAACGTGAAAAACGAACATCACAAATTAGCATACGTTATAAATATACGACTGCGATTAACACTAGAACCACCGAGCCCTAAACGCGACTAGCGTCAATTTTTGTTTACAAGCTGACGCAGAATTAGGGAGAATTTACTGTACAATTGATCGAAACTGTTACACATAAAAGAATGATGGATCTTCGATCGTGCAAAAAGTGGTCGTCTCGCGATCCACTCGAACGAGCGACGTTCGAGGAGAAATGTTTGCCCAGCTTGTTCAGCAAATGTAATAGCAATCGTTCGGTTCGTTTTAACGAGGGGAACTGACGTGACGGTGCATTCTTTCAGAAAACTGCATTCGGGTGCGATTTCTCTTTTGTAGTACGTGTGCACCAACGACAAGTGTACTCTCTATGGCTCGGCAAAGTTCACGTGATTGCTCTGTTGCGGGAGATCGTGCACCTAGGACAGGCTCTCGGCACTATACTAAACGACGGCTCGTGGTGAATGTGTGGGCGACGCAATAGTGAGAGACACAGGCTGCTCTACATATAGCTATATATATAACGGTTATATACGATAGTTGTCTGTAACAGATATATATAGTAGTTATATATAACAGTCACATGTAATAATTATATATAACAGTTACATATATACTAATTATGTATAACAGTTATATACATACAATAGTTACGTATAACAGTCTTATATGTATAACAATTATATATAATAGTTACGTATAACAGTAATATATGTATAATAGTTATATGTAACGGTCATATATGTATAATAATTACATGTAACAGTTGTATATAACAATTATAATATTTTTATGTAACAGTTATATACAATAGCTATATATAACAGTTATATATAACAGTCATATATGTATAATAGTTATATGTAACAGTCATATATGTATAATAATTACATGTAACAGTTGCATATAACAATTATAATATTTTTATGTAACAGTTATATACAATAGCTATATATAACAGTTATATATAACAGTCATATATGTATAATAGCTATATGTAACAGTAATATATGTATAATAATTACATGTAACAGTTGTATATAACAATTATAACATTTTTATATAGCAGTTATATACAATAGCTATATATAACAGTTATATATAACAGTCATAACAGTTACATACAACAGTCATAACAGTTACATACAACAGTTATCATTGATGCGAGCCATCGATCGTGAATCGCGTACCAATCGCTTCTGTACAGAGTGCTTCGCTTCTATTTCTCGTCCAGATTTATATCGATCATAATATTACTCGAAAACGAACAAACTACATCTCGCGAATTCTTTCGTAATTTTATCTAGATTTTCCCACGTGTCTTAGTCCCAGCCTTTATCACCGGCTCTTGGTCAAAGTCTACCGATTCATCGAATAAATAATTTCCTTCTTCTTTTTATAAATACGTAACAAAGCATTTTCCCCATTGAATTTAACCAAATAAATATCGATAAATATTTCATCGAATCGATGAAAACTGTTCCTCGAAACTACGAACCGAGCGGTCGACGAGAGAAATCGTAACACCCTGTACATTGCGTCGGGTGCTGAACAGGTGGAAAGCTGGTATATCGTGCGGTTCATATTTCTTTCATTCCTCTCGATTCGAAGATCGACGGGGATCGACACGGGGATCGATAGGGACCGACGGAGATCGTGGAGCAGATCGTCGCGGGTGCACGGTCTCCGCGAATCGAACGCGACCGGTTTGGAGACAGATGAAAACGAAAATAGATAGAGAGAGAAAAGGAGAGACAGACACAGAGAAAGAGCGTGGAAACAAATGATGAAACTGTAAGAGACAGAAACAAAAGAAGAAGAAGAAGAGGAGGAAGAAGAAGAAGAAGATGATGAAGAAAATTAAATGCGATCTGTAGGAGATCCTTCTGAAGGAGAACGAAAAGGATCCTGCCGATTCGAGAGTGTCGATTCGAAGCGTCAACGCTCGAAACTTGCCTCGTGGATAAGAATAATAAAATAAATCCGATTTTTTCGGCTAGATCGTCCGGAAAATCAATCGAGATTCGATTATGCGGTTCGATGCTCTTTTCCAACGATTCGGAGGATCGAATCGCGAAATTGCGAAATTCAGAAGATCGAGACGCGAAATTCAATGGATCGAGTTGCAAAGTTCAGAGGATCGAATCATAAAATTCAGAGGATCGAGTCGCGAAATTCAATGGATCGAGTTGCAAAGTTCAGAGGATCGAATCATAAAATTCAGAGGATCGAGTCGCGAAATTCAATGGATCGAGTTGCAAAGTTCAGAGGATCGAATCATAAAATTCAGAGGATCGAGTCGCGAAATTCAATGGATCGAGTTGCAAAGTTCAGAGGATCGAATCATAAAATTCAGAGAATCGAGTCGCGAAAGTTCAGAGAATCGAGTCGCGAAAGTTCAAAGAATCGAATCGCAAAATTTAGTGGATCGAATCGCCAAATTCAGAGGATCGTGTCATAAAAATCAGGAGATCGAATAGCGAAATTCGGAGGATCGAATCGCGAAAGTTCAGAGAATCGAATCATAAAATTCGGATGTTCGAAGAGCGAAATGCAGAGGATCGAGTCACGATAGTTCAGAGAATCAAATCGTGAAATTCAGTGGATCGAATCGCGAAGTTCTGTTGATCGAATCGCGAAATTCAATGGATCGAATCGCGAGGTTCAGAGGATCGAATAGCGAAAGTTCAGAGAATCGAATCGTACAGTTCAGAGGATTAAATCACGAAGTTCAGTGGATCAAATCGCTAAATTTAAAGGATCGTGTCATAAAATTCAGAAGATCGAATCGTGAAGTTCTGTAGATCGAATCGCTAAATTCAGAGAATCGAATCGTAGAATTCAAAGGATTAAATCACGAAGTTCAATGGATCAAATCGCGAAATTTAATGGATCGAGTCACGAAGGTTCAGAGAATCGAATCGCGAAATTCAGTGAATCGGATCGCGGAATGCAGAGGATCGAATCGCTAAATTCAGAGGATCGAATTGTGAAATTCAGTGAACAGAATTCCGAAGTTCTGTGGATCAAATCGTAAAATTAAGAGGCTCGAATTGTAAAATTCAGAACATTGAATCACGTAGTTCAGTGGATTAAATCGCGAAATTCAGAGGATCGAGTCGCGAAAGTTCAGAGAATCGAATCGTGAAGTTCAGTGGATCAAATCACGAAATTCGAAAGATCGAATCGTAAAATTCGAATGATCTTCTCACGAAATTCGAAAGATCGAATCATAAAATTCAAAGAACCCACAGTGTCCTAGAAGGACGCGGGTAGAAAACGATAATCGACGAACTCAGAACCGAACCTCGAGCCTCGAATCCCTTAAGAAAACTTTCGCGCGTGCAACGAAAGAAAAAAAGAAGATAGATCGTTCAAAAATCTCGTCGCGATCCTGCGATCGGCGAACAACGATATCGGACCGTTCCACGAATTGTCCAAGCACGGATTGCCGGAAGCACGTGATACGAGCGTCGCGAGGAAATGGCTAAGAATTTCCGCGAACGGAAATCTCGTTCGATCAAAAAAGTGTTCGATATCCCTTGAAAACGGAGCCCCGACGAACGAAATTGAAACGAAACAACCAGCCTCCTGTGTTACCGGCTCTCGACTTCGCACGAGGAAATTGCCGTAACGCGCGCGTGTTTCCCTCGCTGCGTTCTGATCGCAGTGCGGTGTACATTGCTTGCTCGAGTACGTCGATTCGCGTTCGAGAGAGGTGAAACCGGTGAGATGATGCTGGGTGACGTTTGTTCTGGGTGGAGAAGCGTTTCGCGGGTGAGAGCACGAGAAAGGGGAACAGAGAAGAGAGACGAGGAAGCGAGCGAGCGAGTGAGCGAGAGAAGGTAGAAAAGCGAGAAAAGCGAGAAACGGGACGCAGGCAAAGAGACAGACAGAGAGAGAGAGAGAGAGAGAGAGAAGTGTAGAGTAGTCCGTGGTTCGAGCTGGAGGATGACCGAGAGGGAAAAGGCTGAACAATGAAATGGAAAATGCAGCAGCAGGAGGGAGCGGAGGAATGTAAAACATTGTGAGATGACAGACGGAGGAAGAAAAGTAGGTCGACGAGGGATAGAAAGCAGATGGAACAGTGGAGCAGTTTCAGAGAGAGAGAGAGAGAGAGAGAGAGAGAGAGAGAGAGAGAGAGGAAGAGAGCGATGTGGTAGAACGAAGGTGGTAGAATAGTGAGAAATATGAAGAGGCAGAGTAAACAAGATACAGAGGGAAATGTAGAAAATAATAGCAAAAATGTGGAAAGAAAGGAAGCAGGTGGAGGAGAAAAAGGGGAAAAATATGAGACAGAGTAGAGAAAATGGAGAGAGAAATCTAGAAAATAATAGTCAAAATATAGAAAGAGAGGGAGTGGAGAAGAGTGTGAAAAATATGGGACAGAGTTGTCAAAATAGAGAAAAAAAACTAGAAAATAATAGTAAAAATATGGAGAAATAGCAAGTAGGTGGAGGAGAAGAGTATGAGAAATATGGGACAGGGTAGATCAAGATAGAGAGAAAAATGTAGAAAATAATAGCAAAAATGTGGTAAGAAAGAAAGCAGGTGGAGGAGAAGAAGGGGAAAAATATGAGACAGAGTAGGGAAAATGGAGAGAGAAATCTAGAAAATAATAGTAAAAATGTAGAGAAAGAGGAAGCAGGTGGAGGAGAAGAGCGTGAGAAAGGTAACAGACAAAATAGACGAAATAGGGAGAAAAATCTAGAAAATAACATTAAAAATATAGAAAGAGAGGAAGTAAGTGGAGAAGAGTGTGAGAAATATGAGACAGGGTTGACAAAATAGAGAGAGAAATCTAGAAAATAATAGTAAAAATATAGAAAGATTGCAAGACAGTGGAGGAGAAGAGCATGAGAAATATGAGTCAGTGTAGATCAAGATAGAAAGAAAAATCTAGAAAATGATAGTAAAAATGTAGAAAGGGAGGAAGCAGGTGGGGGAGAAGAGAGTGAGAATAATGAGGCAGAGTGGATAGAAGAAAATCAAGAATCAAGAATTGAGAGAAAAATCAAGAATTGGAAATCAATGATCAAGATAGAAAGAAAAATCTAGAAAATGATAGTAAAAATATAGAAAGAGAGGAAGTAGATGGGGGAGAAAAACGTGAGAAATGTGGGACAGACAAAATAGATTGAGAAATCTAGGAAATAATGGTAAAAATATAGAAAGAGAGGAAATCGATGGGGAAGAGTGTGAAAAATGTGGGACAGAGTTGACAAAATAGAGGGAAGAATCTAGAAAATAATAGTAAAAATATAGAAAGATTGCAAGAAGGTGGAGGAGAAGAGCATGAAAAATATGAGTTAGTGTAGATCAAGATAGAAAGACAAATTTAGAAAATAATAATAAAAATATAGAAAGAGAGGAAAACGCGTAGAAAATAATAGCAATAATATAGAAAGAGAGGAAGTAGGTGGATGTAAAGATCGTGAGGAATATGAGGCAGGGTAGATCAAGATAGAAAGAAAAATCTAGAAAATAATAGCAAGAATATAGAAACAGAGGAAACCCTACAAAATAATAATAAAAATATAGAAAGAGAACAAAATCTAGAAAAAGACCCTACAAAAAAGATAGAAAGAGATCAAAGTAGACGGAGGAAAAGAGCGTGAGAAATATAACACAGAATGGACAAAATAGAAAGAAAAATCTATATTATAAAAAGATAGGAAGCAGGTGAAGGAAAAAAGCGTGGAGCAATTTCAAGTGTAAGGAACCCCGAAAGAGGGAGAGAAGAATAGACCAGAAGAGCGTGAGGCGAAGGACAAAGGCGATAGAGACAGAAAGACAGTCAGAAAGAGAGTCAGAAAGAGCGTCAGAAAAGAGAGAGAGAGAGAGAGAGAGAGAGAGAGAGGAGGGAGGGATCTCAAAAATTTCATACAGAAGAAACACGAAAACAATTCCATTATCTATCACTCGAGAATTAAAACTCGAGAGAGAAACGAGAGAAGAAAATCTTGTCAGACGTTCCTGAGAGTGGTTCCGGTGGAAACGGTCTTCCGTATGAAATTTTCAAAGCGGCCAAGGCATAAAGAACGAAGCCACACCGAGAGAACAAGAACGGAGAAACGAACGATACAGAATCGGGAACGGTGGAACAGAACGAACCGGGCCTGGGGAAGGGGGGAAGGGGGAGGCTCTGTAGGGGTGTCGGCGGATAGAAATAAACGGCCGGTTACGAAAACGGGGAGTGTAAGGCGGTAGTAACGAAAAAAATACTGACCTCTGTAAGCCTTTGTTAATGGCAAGCATGGCCTTGCCAGTGCTAAAACAAAACACAAAAAGAACAACGTAAGAAGAGAGATACTCCGGGGAACGAGCGAATGAAGGTGTCGGGATGTGATAAGAGTGTCGGTCGCGCTGCCTCGTGCTTCCGCGAGCATAACACTATTTTTTTTCTTTTTCGCTATCGTTTATTTTCCCGTCTACCATCTATGGTGCCTCTCCGTTTTCTTTTCTTATCTTAAAGAAGTCAGAAACAGAGCACAAAGAGACAGACAGACAGACAGACAGACAGACAGACAGAGAGAGAGAAAGAGAGAGAGAGTGAGTGAGTGAGTGAGTGAGAGAGAGAGAGAGAGAGAGAGAGAGAGAGAGAGAAACAGAGAGAAGGAGAAAAGTAGAATAGTTTATATAATATTATATAATATTAATAATTTTATTATATATAATATATATATTATATATATATATATTATTATATATAATATATTATAATATAATATTATATATAATATATTATAATATAATATTATTATATTATATTATATATAATAATAATATAATATTAATAATATAAAATATAATATATTATATATATTATATTATGTATAATATTATATTAATAATTTAGGGAAAAAATAGAATAGAAACGCACAAAAAATCAGAGACAGAGAAACGATTGGAAGAAGAGACGAGACTAACGAAACCGGCGATTGTGACGGAGGAATCGAGTCGGTAGCCACCGTCGTCGACGGCGTTTCACTCGGAACAGGAAGCGGTTGTTGAACGTGGGATGATACGAGTGGCTGAGAATGGAGCGATGAAAAGAGGCGATTAAGAGAGAAAGAGAGAGAGAGAGAGAGGCGATTCAAAGAGGCGAGAAGCGAAAGCGGAGCGCGAATGGTCCTACTCTCTCCGTCGAAACAACATCGTTCCGCTTCTTCGACACGATCGATTCCCGATCTTCTTCTGCTCGGAACATTTTCTGAATCGACAGAAATCCCGGAATTCCTAGGGGCCCGGGTTAAATCGAGGTTATGTCGAAATAACTTTCTTAGGTTTTCATTGTATGGGCCCACCATGTAATTACAAATTACATCAAGGTTATGTCGAGATTGAAAAGAAAGCAAAATAAAAAAATAAAGATACCTTGACATAACTTGTAAAGACATGGTGGGCCCATGCAATGAAAACCTAAGAAGGTTATTTTGACCATAACCGTCAAGGTTATGTCAAGATTGAAAAGAAAGTAAAATAAAAAATTAAAAATACCTTGACATAACTTCTAAATACATGGTGGGCCCATACAATGAAAACCTAAGAGGTTATTTTGACTATAACCGTCAAGGTTATGTTAAGATTGAAAAGAAAGCAAAATAAAAATATAAAGATACCTTGACATAACTTGTAAATACATGATAAGGCCATACAATAAAACCTAAGAAGGTTATTTTGATTATATAACCGTCAGGATTATGTCAATATTGAAAAATAAAGCAAAATAAAAATTTAAAGATACCTTGACATAACTTATAAATACATGATAAGCCCATACAATAAAACCTAAGAAGGTTATTTTGACTATATAACCGTCAAGGTTATGTCAATATTGAAAAATAAAGCAAAATAAAAAAATAAAAATACCTTGACATAACTTGTAAATACATGGTGGGCCCATACAATAAAACCTAAGAAGGTTATTTTGACCATAACCATCAATGTTACGTCAATATTGAAAAATAAAGCGAATTAAGAAAATAAAAATACCTTGACATAACTTGTAAATACATGTGGTGCGCCCATACAATGAAAACCTAAGAGGTTATTTTGACTATAACCGTCAAGGTTATGTCAAAATTGAAAAAAAAGCAAAATAAAAAGATAAAAATACCTTGACATAACTCGTAAATGCATGTGATGGTCCAATACAATGAAAAAACCTAAGAAGATTATTTTGACCATAACCATCAAGGTTACGTCAAGATTGAAAAAAAGCAAAATAAAAAGATAAAAATACCTTGACATAACTCGTAAATACATGATGGTCCCATACAAAGAAAAAACCTAAGAAACCAATTGCTAGCATAAATTTATGCTATAAGAATAATTTAATCATCCTTAGATTACCAAAAAAATTTCTTCCTCTCCACTTTCGTTGAAAAAGATATGTGAAATCAATTCGAAGCCGGGGAAAATTAAGACGTAAAATTCAGGCTGGCCAATGGATCAGAAATGAAGATGTTATTCGCGGGTAAATCTCTTTTTAATTAGCACGAGCAATCAATCGAACGATGTCGGTTTCGGTTCCGAACTATCTTCTTTTATCTTCGATTCGATTTATTTAAATATTAACGGATCGCTAAGTACTGTCGAACGTGCACGATATCGTAAAAACATTGCAGAAGGTATCGTCGATTCCGCGTATTGTTGTAGCTTCGTTGCGAAGCGCGACTATGTCTGTCCGACTATGGCCGACCTGTTCTACTTGCAGCGCGGACGTCGGTAAAGGCGCGCATTTTTCTAAGTCTCGGTCTGACGATTTTCCGTGTGCAGCTATTCTAAAGCATTCGACTCGAAATCTGACTCGGTTTCATTTTGTAACTTCGCGATCCTCCCTTGGACACCGTGGTCTCCCAAGGGAGGAAACCCCCTGCACCCTTTATATAAAATATATTTTTAAGGTATAATTATTAATATCTAATTTAGATAACATGTAATTTAGTTAAAATGCAATTTAGTTAAAATATAATTCAGTTAAAATATAATGTAGTTAAAATATAATATAGAGTTAAAATATAATTTAGATAAAATATAATTTAGTTAAAATATAATTTAGATAAAATATAATTTAGAGTTAAAATATAATTTAGTTAAAATATAATTCAGATAAAATATAATTTAGTTAAAATATAATATAGTTAAAATTTAATATAGTTAAAATATGATTCAGTTAAAACATCGTATAGTTAAAATATAATATAGTTAAAATATAATTCAGTTAAGACATAATATAGTTAAAATATAATATAGTTAAAATATAATATAGTTAAAATATAATATAGTTAAAATATAATTCAGAGAGAGAGAGAGTTAAAATTTAATTTAGTTAAAATATAATTTAGATAAAATATAATTCAGTTAAAATATAATATAGTTAAAATATAATTCAGTTAAAATATAATTTCAACGATGGAATTAGAAATGAATTAGAAATGTGCAAACTTTTACAGCTTCAATATCAATATCTTCCGCGATTCTAAAATCTTCAATTCACACGAATTTATGGTACGTTTCCTGCTCCGCAATCTAAACGGTTAATTAGCCCGTTCGATTAATAAACAATAATCTGGAAATCTGAAACGGCGAATCTGAAAATTCGTTCCGGATTAACTCGCACGGTTTAGCAGCTCGAGATCTCATTAGCGATACTCGAACAAGACCAAGGTCGGGCGCTAAAACCGTTCTCCGGACTGAATCTCTCTCTCTCGACCTTGCGCACAGGCGCGCCTCCAGTACCTTCGTTAATTTTCTCTTTTTCCTGGCGTAATTCGTTGTCACGGGGAGGGGGGGAAATAAAAAAGGAACGATCGTTCGAATGAGTTCCGCGCAATTTAGCTGGAGACGATGCGGAGAAACGGGCTGCTCCAGTTAGAGAATCGGGAGAACGAATTTGCGCGGGCGTGGCTCGCTTCAAAGCGTCCGTGAAGTAGTAGTAGCAGTGGTGGTAGTTACTTGTGGTGGTGGTGTCAAGGGTCAGTCTTTCGCATCGTCTACCACTCGCACTCGTCTAAGCACAGATTTGCAGGTCTAACGTAATTAGTAGCTAGCTTAGGGAGCAACGTGTACCACTCGATGCTGGCTACGAGAGAGAGAAGATGAGTAGAAGGGGAGAGAAGGCGATTGGAGAGGAGAGGAGAGAGCTCCGAAGTCGAGAGAACGCGCGATGCGACACGGGAAACATAATCGACACGGTACAGGCTTGTAGAGGGTATAGCGATTTGCTAAATTTAATAATTAATAATGCCAAATTTCGGGGTGCTGTGAATTGTCCCTGCGCTAGTCCCGCGCCTATGTAATTTATTGCATAAATATATATTTTTAAGGTATAGTTATTAAAATATAATTTAGATAAAATGTAATTCAGTTAAAATGTAATTTATTAAAATGTGATTTAGTTAAAATATGATATAGTTAAAATATAATGTAGTTAAAATATGATATAGTTGAAATATAATTCAGTTAAAATATAATATAGTTAAAATATAATTCAGTTAAAATATAATTTAGATAAAATATATATAATATAGATAAAATAAAATTTAGATAAAATATAATTTAGATAAAATATAATTTAGATAAAATATATATAATTTAGATAAAATATATATAATTTAGTTAAAATATAATTTAGATAAAATATAATATAGTTAAAATATAATTCAGTTAAAATATAATTTAGTTAAAATATATAATTTAATTAAAATATAATTCAGTTAAAATAAAATGTAGTTAAAATATAATTCAGTTAAAATATACGTCGATCCTAAGGATCGAATGGAGTCAGTCAAACGTGCGATGCGGCACGAGAAACATAATCGACACGGTACAGGCTTGTAGAGGGTATAGCGATTTGCTAAATTTAATAATTAATAATGCCAAATTTCGGGGTGCTGTGAATTGTCCCTGCGCTAGTCCCGCGCCTATGTAATTTATTGCATAAATATATATTTTTAAGGTATAGTTATTAAAATATAATTTAGATAAAATGTAATTCAGTTAAAATGTAATTTATTAAAATGTGATTTAGTTAAAATATGATATAGTTAAAATATAATGTAGTTAAAATATGATATAGTTGAAATATAATTCAGTTAAAATATAATATAGTTAAAATATAATTCAGTTAAAATATAATTTAGATAAAATATATATAATATAGATAAAATAAAATTTAGATAAAATATAATTTAGATAAAATATAATTTAGATAAAATATATATAATTTAGATAAAATATATATAATTTAGTTAAAATATAATTTAGATAAAATATAATATAGTTAAAATATAATTCAGTTAAAATATAATTTAGTTAAAATATATAATTTAATTAAAATATAATTCAGTTAAAATAAAATGTAGTTAAAATATAATTCAGTTAAAATATACGTCGATCCTAAGGATCGAATGGAGTCAGTCAAACGTGCGATGCGGCACGAGAAACATAATCGACACGGTACAGGCTTGTAGAGGATGCAGTGATTCGCCAAATTTAATAATTAATGAAGCCAAATTTCGGGTTGCCGCGAATTGTACCTGCGCTAATCCCACGCCTATGTAATTTATTGCTACGTTGTCGATGCTAAGAGTCAACGAAGTCGCTCGAGCGTCTGATGCGGCGCGCGACGCGAATTTTCGGAAGACAAGAATACAAACATTAGACAGAGAACAATATTATTAATTAGAAATAGGTCGCAACCGGATTTTTAGGTTCGCGAAACTCCGATCCGAATCTTTGCGAGGTCTCGAAACTCTCGATATCTAAAATGCTCGTCCTTTTCCTTTTTTTTCTTCTTCTAAAAAGTATCTTTTTTTTGTTAGGAACACGAAATTTGTCTTTTGACAGATTCTCTTCGGAGAATCAAATTATTTATTGAACGTAATTAGATGGAAATTGGAAGGAGTTATAATTTTGATCTTTTATCTCGATGCAAAACGATTGTAATCGATCGGTGAAATTGAAAAATACCAATTAAAATGTGTCTGAAGTCTAAAGGCAATCTCAATTCGATTATTATTGGTTAAATAAACATAAATTCATATCGTTGCAATATTCTCGTGATTTGTTCGTACAAATTATTAATTAACTGGTTTTCGGGAGCTTCGAATCACAAAAATGGCACAAAGTTTCGAGTTTCGAGTTTCGAGTGTTCCATGTATTAACACACTATGCACAGTTATTAAATACGTTCTCAAAAAATTGAATTTTTTTAAAATTTCGTTAGATATTTTAAAGAATCTTTCCCCGTGAAATCCTAAAAATCCTCGTTGCATACTTGTTATCAAAATCGTACTGTCACTTTGCAAATATTTTTTAATCTTTTTAACGCTAGATTTACGGAGCACAAAAAAACAGCAGTTTTATACTAGTTTATAGAAGTAACAATAAGAGATTTATTCCTAATTTTTAACAAGCGTTATTGTAACATATTATACTCTAAACAACATACAAATAGAATAAATAACTCATAAATCTTCACGATACGTATCTTTGCGACACGAATAATCGTAAATTAAAAGAATTAATGTCCCGTCATTTCGACGGGCTCCGTAAATCTAGATTAACAAGAAAAACTATAAAACTTCTTTAAAAAAAATATATTAACATCTTTCCCGCACGTAACGTGCTAATGAAACATTTACGAACTCGACTAAATCCACCGAGAATCTCGAAACAAGAAATAGCATGATTGCTGCCATCGATCGTCGACGATAAGACCAGTGAAAATGACAAATGTTAATTTTTGTTGTTCGCGTTGCAGCTAATTGTTGATCGCGGGCGCGCGCACTGTTGATTCGGCGAGGCGGGCTGCACAGCGAATCGAACGCGAACGGGAACAGCGAATCGAGAGAACGGCCTTGGACTGGTCGACCACGACAACGAAGAAAGGTCAGACGTTCGAGATATCGACTGGCGAAACATGGTCGCGGGTAAAAATAAAACGCGGCCGAACCGTCTGGTCGCGTCGCGTCGCGAGACGAGCCGGAATTGTTCGCGATTCCCGCGGTATCGCCGATCGCCGATCGCCGGTTGCCCGGCGCCTTTGCACGCGCGTGCACGCCCCCCACCCCCCACTCCTCTGCCGACGAAACACACTCGATATTATCGAGGCATCGATCCTCCTCGTGTTTCCATTGAGGGGCTTCTCTCCCGACTGTTGCACCTGTCCGGCCCGCATCGTTTTCCGCCGCAATTTCTATTCCGACGCGCCTTCCTCTCTCGATCGATTGTATCGGTTCCGCTTCGACTCGATTCGCTGAAACGCCCCGGACCCGATCGAATTCTCTCGTCGATTATCGAAGCGAAATATTTTCGACTCGACTCGACTCTATTCGCGCTCGCGCTCGCTCTATCAATTTCCGGACGGTGCTCGATTCATTAATCGGGTTAACGAGCTTCAGCTGTCGAAAGACTATTGACGCTTTGACTGCCATGTAGGTCGTATATATATAATTATGTTAACACCCGGCAATTCCTCGGATCATTTGGAGCAACTTTTTCCTTAGCGGAATTGCGATCCGCGGCTTCGTTTACGAGTTATCGAGGAAAAACGTGGACCAATCGGAGAGCGAGTGCGCGCGCCCGGCGCTCCGCCCTCGCGGCCAGTGCAGCGTCGCGTTGGCCGTCTGACGCAGCGGTAGTGGTCACGAGGGCGGGGCGTCGGCCGCGCGCGAGCTCTCGTTTGGTCAGAGTTTTTCGTTAATAACTCGTAAACGGAGCCGCGGATCGCATTTTCGCTAAGGAAAAAGTTGCTTCGAATGACCTCAGGAATCTCATACCCTTACCCGGGTATTATTATTATATATAATACTATATTTCCTTGTATTTTTATGTCATATCTGTTTTTTTTGCTTTCCTCTGTTCTTTCTTCACTTTCTTCTCTTTGTTTGTACTTGTGCGATTGCTGTATAAAATCTCTCTGTTATTATTTCTGGTGTAACGAAGCATTTTTCGACTCCCGATTTTCAGTGAAATTTATTAAGTAAATTACAATTGGTTTCTACGAGATTTACAAGATTCAAGAGCAAATTTTTCCTAATTTGTTGACAATAAAATTGAGTCGCGGATGATCGTATCTCCTCTCTCCAAATTGTCCACATTTGGTTTAAAAATCGGCGAAAAATTTGGGAGAATTTACTGGACTGCGCGAGTAATTTCTATAATAAATCGTTCCTACATTGTTCCAACATTGTTCCGACTTCATGTGACTTTCATAGACAATTTTTACGGCGGTCAACGCGTCAACTGGCTTTGCTCGTGCTGCGTTCCAACGACAGTAATCTTTACGGAGGGATCATCTGTGGTACCAAACATCGTGTCACGTTCGAAAATAATGTCAACATCGTCAAATTTCTTTATACTCGAAAACCTGTTGAAAGCGTATAGGCTGTTGCGCGGATCACAATGTCAGAGGCAACAAAATTAAAGGGAAAAGAAGCCAGCCGATAATCGAGAGAGCCTGCATTGTTCCTCGGCACTCGAAACGGCGAGTCCGCGGGAACAAGAAGGGTTGAACGGAAAGAATCTCGATTGATCGATCTGGTCGGACATCTTTAGTCGGACACCGGTAGTCTCGAATCCGGTCGAGGCGAACGATAAACAAGAAACAAAAAAAATAAAGAATATGCAAACGAAAGGATCGAACGATCGATCGATCGATCAGCCTCGGTAACGCTGTTCCGACGGTGTGTTCCGACCGGTCGGAACCGAGAAAAAGCAATCGACAGAGAGACAAATCGATCAGAGAAAACAGGAGAAAGAGAAACAAGGTGTATACGTGTGACCGGAAGAAAGGAAGAAACGGAACGAAATGATTCAGAAGAAGTACAGTGAAGTCGGAGAAACTTAGAGAAGTTAAAGACAGAGAAGAAAGACTGGTAGAAAGAGAGCGAGAAAGAGAAAAAGAGAGAGCGAGAGAGAGGAAGAAAGAAAGAAAAAGATGAAGAAAAAAGAGAGAGAGAGAGAGATTTCTGGGTAGAGCGAGTAGAGGCGAGTAGGTACCTGGATATTGGCGACAGTGGAATGTACCTGAAGCGGCCGGTTGGATGGTGGATCGGGCCGCCGAATCGTCTGGTCGCCTGCGGTGTAAGATAGGCGGTCAACGGCGGTATCGCCTTGTTGTTGTTGCTCGGATTGTTGGCGAACTTGACGGTGATCGGCTCGGTCGAGCCCTTCGGAATGGTACCATTTAATTCTTGGATCGCCTTCTCGGCCTCGACCCGCTGGTCGAACCTTATGAAACCGACCCCCTTCGACAATCCTGTCGGAATCGGTTCTGATTATTCCATATATCCATCTTCTTGCCTTAATCCTACGTTCTATACGATCGATCGTCGGCTCCCTTATCGTTCACGCTGCCTTTACGTTCACGGATATCCGCGGGCGGATCGCTGCGTTGCGCACCATTTCTCGATTCGTCGGCGAATCGAACGTGTCGGAGCGACACCGTTCGCAGGAAAATAAGTCGGATCTGATTACAAAGGAGCGGGCATTGGTGGCGCGTGCGCGGGGAGTCCGGTACAGCGACGCGAAAATCTCTGTGTTTGTAGTTCGGAATTATAGTAATTTTTTCCTGAGTCGTGCTCGGTTTGCGCCGAAAGTGGAGAATTTGGGAAGCGGAGATGCGATTGTTCGAGCCTTATATTATTATGTATTGTTATATTTTTATATATTATGCGAGCCTTGGATCTCGTTTTTATAGTTATTGACAATCGGTAACTATAAAAGCGAGCCGAATAATCTCCTCACCCCGGATTGTCCACTTTTGTGCGCAACCTCGGCGCGAATCAAGGAGAAATTACTGTATAATCTGCGCGTTACGCGCCCCACTCCGCTCTACGGGACTCTCGGCGCACGCGTTGCGCTCCCCACTCTGCTCTACGGGACTCGCGGCGCACGCGTAACGCGCCCACTCCGCTCTACGGGACCCGCGGCGCACGCGTCGCTTACCCCCACTCCTTCGACATCAGATCTGACTCGGATCCCTGCGTACTTTTGTCGTGCGCGAATTCCACAAAGCGCGAGCAACGACCAAAACACGCGCCGTAAGTCGAGTCAGGAATTGCTGTTCGCGTCTACCTTTGACGATGATCGCTTTCCTCGACGACCAACAAAGTCCGTCGAATTTAATTGTGCAAAACTATACAGAAAATTGTTTACAAAAATTATGCGGAACCATCGTAGGATCGTGACAGTTGCAAAACATTGCGTTTAAATGTCTGAAAAAATGTACGACACAGCTTCCGCATAATTTATGTTAATAAAAATTTTATACGAACAAATCGAATCGGACGTAGTTCTGCGATGTCCGACGGCGAGCAAGAATTTCGCGTCCATCGTCAAAGAGAACGGGGAACAACGGAACAGGCCGCACGTTCTCCTCGAATCAGCGACAGCAATTTCATTAGATTCTCGACAGGGTGTCGCGCCGAACGGGCGATAAACTACAAGATCCGCGGGCTCTTGGTTCCCGACAGCGATCCACCGCGGCGTCGCAGTAATTGCGTTCTCCGGTAGAATTATTCCGAGCCGTTCACGGACCACTGGGTCCTCTGGTCCCGAGCACGCGGGCCCTTCTCGATGATTAGTTGACCAAAAAATCGGATCGGCCGCGGAATAATTATAAAAATTGTGCTCGGCGACCGGTGATCCGTGACGCGAGCACGCAGCACCCTCGAACGGACCGACGACGAGGGCTGACGACCGAGGGCTGGGCTGCTGGTTCCACGCTTTTCAAAGCCGAATGAACAGAATACCCCGCCCGCGCCCCTGTGAACAACGCCGGAGACTCGACGGGGTCCCCTGAAATCCGATAATCTTCTTCTATTCGCCGCCGTTCGGACGGCGAACGCGTCGTAAGAATAGTTTCCGAGAGGAACCAGGTCCAAGCTCTCCTTTTCTTTTTTGCAGTGCCCAATTAAATCGGTTCGAATTTTGGCGGAGCGATCCGACGATTCGATCGAGTCGGCTCGCACCGCCGAATTTGACGGTAATCGTGGACAACGGTGGTCGACTACGTTTTTTGTTTCGTGCCTCGGCGTTCTGTACAGCGGTTCTTATTCGTGCGCGAGCAGGGCATCGGTTGTTATTGAAATTAATCTTTAATGTATTTGTTATTGTAGAAACAGAAAAATATGTTCTTGTATGTCAAGATTTATAAATGAATTTGTAAATGAAGATATGTATGAGTTTCTGGATAATAATTTCATTTAGATTGATTCGATTCGATTCGATTCAATTGGATTCAATTCAATTCAATACGATTCACTTCAATTCGATTCAATTCGATTCAATTCAATCCAATTCAGTTCAATTTAATTCGATTTAACTTAATTCAATTCGAATCAATTCGATTCGATTCGATTCACTTCAATTCGATTCGATTCGATTCAATTCAATTCGATTCGATTCACTTCAATTCGATTCAATTCGATTCAATTCAATCCAATTCAGTTCAATTTAATTCGATTTAACTTAATTCAATTCGAATCAATTCAATTCAACTCAATCCAATTCAACTCAATCCAATTCAACTCAATCCAATTCAATTCAGTTCAATTTAATTCGATTTAACTTAATTCAACTCAAATCAATTCAATCTGATTCAATTCAATTTAATTCGATTTAATTGAACTCAATTCAAATCAATTCTCAATCTAATTCGATTTAATTAAATTTAATTCGATTTAATTGAACCCAATTCAAATCAATTCAATCCAATTCGATTTAATAAAATTTAATTCAATTTAATTCAACTCAATTCAATGTATTCATATATCCGGACGAACGCCCATTTTCAAAATACCAAAACAAAAAGATATAACATTTAGAACGACAAAGAATCAGCGAATCATCGATCAATCAATCAGCAAACAAATGATTAAAACTCATTTTGAATTCCGTGACATCGCTTCCAAATATATATCTATTTTATCGCTGATGCCGTGTATAACAGTACATTAAATTCGAAAAGCAAGAAGCTGTACAGAGCCGAAAGGCACCGATCGCCGAATCATCGGCATCGTCCGCCACGATTTCGGACAAGTTCCGGCGCGGTGCGAACTCTCGAGGAAGCCGCGGACAGCGTGAACGATAAAGACCTAGACCTGTACTCGGCCGGTCTCGGAGAGCGACGATCGCTGACGAAGCTTCTCCCGGTGTTCCGGGGACCTGGATCGTGTCGCGCGATCGTTCCGCGAGACAACGATCGCGGCCGATCGCGGCCGATCGCGGCCGACCGCCGCGGGCAGGCATGATCAGCGGCCACACTGTGTGACGGGCCATTGGGGACCATGCCTGGGATCACAGCGGCTCTCGGCTCTCGGACACGAGCGAACGAGAGTGGCTCTCGGTGGTGCGCGCGCATATTCGTTTCTTTACACCGATTTCGTGTTCTCGAGCTAAGCAGGCGTGCTACCGCCTGCCTCGACCGATCTCCCCGCGTGTAGTTTTTCGTTGATCGTTCTCGCTACATTGCACGCCATACATACTACGCGTACACGTATATACACACATATATATATGCATATATGTATAATATGTACATGTGAAAATGTATATATACACGGTTCTCTTGAACTTTACCGGCGTACAGCTGAACGAGTCGGCGACGCGCGGCATAAAAAGGAAACGAAAAGAATCGGGAGCACGGTCGCAAAATCATAACGGACGACGAATAAGCGTAAAGAAACAAAAACGGCGCACGGAAGGAAGAGAACGTCTTGGGTGTGTCTGTTCGTCGTGGACAAATGCAGCCGGACCATTTAAGAACAAGAACAAGAACAAGAACAAGAACAGAACTGGAAAGAAAAAAAGATTGAAAGATAAAAAAAAGATCGGCGAAGACGAGGGCAAACAACGGCCGCCGAAAGTCTCGTTTCCGCGTTTTCGATCCGCTTGCCGTTGGCTACGAACCCGTTTTTCAATTTTCCTTTTTTTTTGTCAACGGTTTCGTCGCTCGCGACCAACGCGACGAACGACAACCGACTTTTCGCCGTCGATCTGCGGCGAAAACGTACGCGCGGCAAGCGATCGCGTCGCGTATTGGGTTGGCAACTAAGTAATTGCCGATTTCAGTTATAGATGTCTCTCACTCCCATACTTATGATATCCGTAAATGTTATATTATAAAATTATTATTATTATTACTATTACTATTATTATTATTATTACTATTATTACTATTATTATTATTATTATTATTATTATCATTATTGCTGTTATTATTACTATTATTATAGTCCAATTATTATTATTACTATTATTGTAGTATTATTGTTATTATTACTATTGTTATAGTATTATTATTACTACTACTATTATTATAGTATTATTATTATTATTACTATTATTATAGTATTATTATTATTATTACTATTATTGTAGTATTATTGTTATTATTACTATTGTTATAGTATTATTATTATTACTATTATTATAGTATTATTATTATTATTACTATTATTATAGCATAATTATTATTATTACTATTATTATAGTGTTATTAATATTATTATTATTATTATGTTATTTTTTATTATCCGCGAATGTTAGCAACTGGACAAATTGAATGCAGCGGTCAAGGAAAAGCGAGCAGAATTGGTCAATCGTAAAGGTGTCATTTTCCAGCAGGACAATGCTAGGCCGCACACGTCTTTGTCCACACGGCAAAAATTGATGGATATTGGTTGGGAATTGATGTTACACCCGCTATATAGCCCTGATCTCGCGCCATCGGATTACCACTTATTTCGATCCCTGGACAACTCCCTTCGTGGTAAAACTTTGAACGACGATGACGCTGTAAAATCTCACTTAACTCAGTTTTTGGCCGAAAAGGATCAGACTTTCTACGAGCGTGGAATTTTCAAGTTGTCAGAGAGACGGCGAAAGGTCGTCGAACAAAATGGAAAATACATTACAGATTAAACTTCGTTCCAAGTAAAAAAACATTTTTTATTTCATTGAACAAATCGGCAATTACTTAGTTGCCAACCCAATACTTTCGGCCGGCTTCTCTTTGCGCGCGCCCCCATAGTCGCCTCTGGGCCGCACTCGTTGGCGCTCGTCGCTCGTCGGTTGTTCTCTCGGGCCGGTCTGTGCACCGAGGGCCGGGGTGGTTACTCGCGACATCCCCGCGACACCCCCGCGAAAGCAGCGTGCAACCGCAGCGCGACGAGTTAACTCGTCGGCCTCGGTGGACAGAGCGATCCGCGCGTCCGAACACCGTTCGAGCGCGGCGCGAGCAAACGAAAACGCGAACCAGTGACAAAAGAAGAAATGAAAGACAGAGAGAGAGAGAGAGAGAGAGAGACAAACAGATAAATAGATAGATAGATATATAGATAGATAGTGAAAGACAGAGAATGAGAAATGTAACAGAGAGAGATAGAGAGAGTAACATAGCAACAAAAGCAAAAGTGAGCGAGAAGAACGGCTGCCTTTGTCTCGACTTGGGCGTAATAGGGGTGAAAGAAAAAAGAGTTGTATGAGTTACGTACCGGGCAAATAGTCTCCGCTGCCGGTCACAAACTGTCGTACTAAACAGAAACGGAAAAAATCATATCACGTTAAAATTCAACTGGCTCTGTAAAAGCATGACGCGAGTCGCTCGCCCCTGATTCGACGACGGGTGGGTTGCGAAAAATGGTGGTGGACACAACGGAAAATCAACCAAGGGAAAATCAACGTGACGCGAGATGGCGGCGAGTCGTCGTCACGTGACAGCGAGACCGCGAACGGAACCCGCGGAGTATGCGAACGGAAAAATGAACGAACGAACGAATAAACGAACGAACGAACGATCGATAGATAGATGCGTGTACCTCCTCCTTTCCTCCACGCGCGTCGTTCGATCTCGCGGTTCGATGATCCGTACCAAAAAAATGAAACCTCTTCAACGGTCCGCGATCGAACGACCCGTCGATCGTCTCTCGTCTGAACGTCGTTTTCTTTTCCGTGCTCGTCGTTCGAACGGCGACGCGGAACGACGTTGAAGAGGTCCGAAGCGAGCGAAACAGAGAGAGAGAGAGAGAGAGAGAAAGAAAGAGAAAAAGAGAGAGAGAGAGAAAAGAAAAGAGTCGCGAGTAGTGTTGAAACTGATACCGCATCGATAACCCATCGATACCAGTTGGCAAATTTCGATCCAATATCGAATCGTATCGGAGACGTACAGTCGCCTCGGAAAGTACGTTAATGTCTTTTTATTTGGATAACTTTTTTAAGATCGGTTCAAGGGATTTGGATATTTTTGAGATGTTAGATTGGAGGGTTTTCTATGAGATGGGTATATAAAAAGTTTTCTAGATTGCAATTCGTTGGAATGATAAAAGAGAAATTTTTTAAATGATGTTTTTGATACTTTTTTATATGAGCCTATAATGATAATTATATTATATTGATAATTATAATGATAAGTATTATAATGATAATTTATAAAATGCATTTTGTAGATCTCGGTAACTTGTGTGCATGTTGAAAATTTCATCGAAATCGGTCGGCGTATAGTCAAGCTATACTGATATAAGTCACTCAAAAACGTAAAAATTGTCTGTTTTTGCTTGAAATTCGTGAACAACTGCGAATTCAGCGATCTTTAATTGCTCGCAACTCGCGTGTCAAACTCAACCGATTTCGATGAAATTTTCAACGTGCATACAAGTTACCGAGATCTACGAAACGCATTTTTTTCGTTTTCGTTATGGCCTCGGATAAAAAAGTTGAAATAGCATCGTCTTTTGATTTTTTTATCATTCCTATCAATTGCAATCTAAGAACACTTTTTGCACACTCATTTCATAGAAAACTACTCAGTCTAACACCTCAAAAAAATTCGAGTTCTTCGAACCGATTTTAAAAAAGTTATTCCGATTGAAAAAGCGTTAACGCTTTTCGCCTAATTTCCGAGGCGACTGTAGTTATCGAACAGAATCGACGCCTCTTCGATACGGTGCTCTAAAATATCGATACCAGACCGATGCTCTTACAGGAAACAATTCGCGAAGTACAGTAACGTCTTCCTAATTGACTCTCAGATTGTGCACAAAAATGGACGATTTGGGATCGGGCAGGTACGATTATTTTATATACTATTATCGATACTATCGATAATATCGATGCTATTATCGAGCCTTACGGCTCGTTTTTATAATTGTTGACAGTTCGTAACTATAAAAATTAACTGTAATTTAACTGGAATAATCGTAGCTCCTCTTCCCAAATTGTCCATTTCTGTGGACAATCCGAGCGTCAATTAGAGAGACATTACTGTATCAGAGACGAGTATCGATACTTCCGGAAAGTATCGGAGACAAGCTTCGATTCGATACAGAGCATCGGTTCGGTATCGTTTTAACACTTAAATGACCGCATGTTATTCCCGTAGGCTTTCTCTACGACTCTGCGGTATGCTTTGAGCATCTTCTGATAAAATTTATACTCCAGAATTGCCTTCGAAAGCTTCTAGATTTATGGTTATGTCCTTCTTTATCCAAACATCTTCAATTTCCGACTGTTTAGAATTGTTCGGAATTGTTCGTCAATCGTTCGTCAGTTGTTCGTCAATCGTTCGTCAATCGTTTGTAGGTCGTTCGTTCGTCGTTCGTAAGCCGTTCGTCAGTCGTTCGTAGGTCGTCCGTAGGATATTCGTAGATCGTTCGTCGGTCGTTCGTCAATCGTTCGTCAATCATTCGTCAATCATTCGTCAGTCGTTCGTCAATCGTTCGTCAATCATTCGTCAGTCGTTCGTCAATCGTTCGTCAATCGTTTGTCGGTCGTTCCTCGGTCGTTCCTCGGTCGTCCCTCGGTCGTTCCTCGGTCGTTCCTCGGTCGTTCCTCGGTCGTTCGTCAGTAGTTCGTCAGTCGTTTGTCAATCATTCGTCAGTCGTTCGTCGGTCGTTCCTCGGTCGTTCGTCAATCGTTCGTCAGTAGTTCGTCAGTAGTTCGTCAGTAGTTCGTCAGTCATTCGTCAGTCATTCGTCAGTCATTCGTCAGTCATTCATCAGTCGTTCCTCAGTCGTTCCTCAGTCGCTCGTGAATCGTTCGTCAGTCGTTTGTCAATCGTTCGTCAATCGTTCATCAGTAGTTCGTCAGTAGTACGTCAGTCATTCCTCAGTCATTCCTCAGTCGCTCGTCAATCGTTTGTCAATCGTTTGTCAATCGTTTGTCAATCGTTCGTCAATCGTTCGTCAGTCGTTCGTCAATCGTTCGTCAGTAGTTTATCAGTAGTTCGTCAGTCATTCGTCAATCGTTAATCTATCGTTCATCAATCGTTCGTCTCGCCACCAAAACGCAAAAAATCACGCGAGCGGTCGTTTAAGCGTTAAAAAGTCTCGGTATCGCACTACCTAAAATTTCGATACCTATCAAATCACCTGCGATCAAGGCACTTCGGCATCGAATCGATCGACCCACAATCAACAAACGCCACGGTATCGATTCCATCACTAGACTCGACAGTTCGGTCCATCGAACGGCTGCCGGATGGCAAGACGGCGATCCGGGGGGAGGGGAGGGTAAGTACGTGAACGAAAAGAAACTTTGGTCGCATGATCAGAATAAGGGGCGAGCGATTCCTTCAGTTAGTTTTACGCTATTTTCTGCTTTTCCCGTGCTTCAGGGTAGGCAATGAATTTTTTTTCGAAAACGAGTTTCCGTGAACGCGCGCGCGAACGGACAAACCAACAACAGATCGGGGTGGTAAACGGCTTTCAGACGGTGGAGGGTGGCGGGGAGGGGTCGGAATAGAAAGCGCGCGCGCGCGGTTTTGCGATCCAAGAACGATCCGATCTGGGCGATGAACGCGAAGACAAGGGGGGTGAGGGGGGGTATCGTGTCGGAAACGGAAAACGGAGAAAAACGGAAACCGAAACGAGAACCGGAGATCTCGAGGGATCGCGGCTGTGGCGAGAAAGAAAAACCAAGCGAACGAAAATTAAATAAATAAATAAAGAAAACAAAAGACGAAGAAGAAGACGAAGAAGAAGAAGAAGAAAAAAACAAGAACGATATGTATAATTCCGAGGAAATGAAAACGAGTTGGTGAACCGAGGGGAGAACCGACCGGAGAAAAAAGAAAACGGAAAGAAGCGTCGGCGAGCGTGGAGAATTGGCGGCGAAACCGGGGGTTTAGGCCATGAGGCGTGGGTGGGGTCGAGGAGAGCCGAGAGAGACCGTCGATACGGTCCACGGAGGAGTATGGAGAGAAGATAGAGAGGAGAGGAGAAGAGAAGCGATCGGACGAAGAAAGCGAGAGGAAAAGTCGTGTTCGCGCTCGACTCGTTCTCGCTGGAATCGCGTGGCCGCGCCGATCCTACGAGATTAATGGGAGATTAGGGGAAGGAAAGGCGGCCGATTAGGAGAATTCGGAAGCTTGGAGGAACGTGGAAAACTGCGGATACCTGGGAAACCCCATGGCCTACTCTCTTGTATCTCGATCCTCGATCGGACGGACGGGTCTCTCCACGCGCCTCTCCGCGCGGAACGCTCGTGCGCGTCTGTCCGACTCGCACGGTCCCGCGATCTACTCCGAGGCCACCTGTGCGTGTGTGTTTTTTTCATTCTTATCGACTCTCTCAGCCTTCCATATGGGTGCCGATTGTTTTTGGCTCTTGCGTGTTTTCTTGACTTTTTTTTCTCTCGGTATTTTGTTTTCTCGACTTTTTTCTCGGGCTTTTTCTCGGAACGTGTCGCTCCGGCTCCGTTAAGATCGGCCTCGACGGCTCCCTCTTCTCGAGGGAGCGAACCGTTAATATATATATATATTATATATATTTTTATGTATTTATTTAATATAGCTGTGCGAGCGTCGACGGGGCTCGGCCCTGTCCACGGCGTGCGATCCCGTCGGACCGTGCTGATATATGTTCTCTCGTCGCCGGCGAGACTCGACGGAACGATGGCCGGCCGCCGCCCGCGCGCCGGGTGCAACAACTTACCGGTGATGTTGTCGCAGAGTATCCGCGACGTGATGATTCTGCCGTACGAGCTGAACAGATTCTCCAGGTCTTGTTGCGTCATGTTCTTCGGCAGACCGCTCACGTAAAGGTTCGCGCCTTTGATCGCCTCGCTGCTCGGTCTTGCGTACGATACCTAAGGCAGACGGCACCAAGATCATTCAGTCACCAACGGTTCATGCCGGCTGTTACGACGAAATTTGTGCTTCGGAGGAGCGATCGGAACGCGACAGATACTATAGCTACAGCGACAACAGTATTATTCGCTCTCCGTGCACGGTTAAATTCTCGCGAATTGGGACGCTCGCGGTGGGCCGGATCGTTGAGGAATTCCGCAGGAATTGTTGTTACAATTTGTTCTGTCGTTCCGAGATATTTCGATGATAGGTTCGATTGAAATGTTTGAGAAGATTAGTCGTGTTCAACTGGGGACTATTAAATGTGTCTCGCGTTTAATAAATAATTCGTAAGTAATTTTAATTTAATATTAATTTAATAATTCTGCGTAATTGACGTTCAGAGTAGGAACGAGAGAGGAGAATTTTGGGAAATGAGGCACGATCATCGTGTTCTTCTCTTCCCAAATTGTCCATTTTTGCTTCCAAGCCGAGCATCGATCAGGGAGAATTTAGTGTATCGTGCGTGGCGTCATTCGTGGCAGACCAAAATTACGTCATTTGGGGAGACATTGGTTGCTATTTCGACCCGGCGACATTTAGAGACCAATATCAATATCATTCAGTCACCAACGGTTCATTCCGCCTGTCACGACGAAATTTGTGCTTCGGAGGAGCGATCGGAACGCGACAGATACTATAGCTACAGCGACAACAGTATTTTTCGCTCTCCGTGCACGGTTAAATTCTCGCGAATTGGGACGCTCGCGGTGGGCCGGATCGTTGTGGAATTCCGCAGGAATTTTTGTTATAATGTTTTCAGTCAATATGTTTTAAAAGATTAGTCGTGTGATTACCGTGTTCTTCTCTTCCCGAATTGTCCATTTTTGTTTCGATGTTGGGCGACGATCAGGGAGAATTTAGTGTACCACGGCGTCATTCGTGGCGGACCAAAATTACGTCATTTGGGGGGACATTGGTTGCGATCCCGACCCGGCGAAATTTAGAGAAAAATTACTGTACATTACTGTACGTCCCTGATTGGCGCACAGCTTGGGAACTAAAAAGGACAATTTGAGAAGAGGAGAACACGATAATCGTGAGGTCTCTTCCCAAATTGTCCATTTTTGCTTCCAAGCCGAGCATCGATCAGGGAGAATTTAGTGTATCGTGCGTGGCGTCATTCGTGGCAGACCAAAATTACGTCATTTGGGGAGACATTGGTTGCTATTTCGACCCGGCGACATTTAGAGACCAATATCAATATCATTCAGTCACCAACGGTTCATTCCGCCTGTCACGACGAAATTTGTGCTTCGGAGGAGCGATCGGAACGCGACAGATACTATAGCTACAGCGACAACAGTATTTTTCGCTCTCCGTGCACGGTTAAATTCTCGCGAATTGGGACGCTCGCGGTGGGCCGGATCGTTGTGGAATTCCGCAGGAATTTTTGTTATAATGTTTTCAGTCAATATGTTTTAAAAGATTAGTCGTGTGATTACCGTGTTCTTCTCTTCCCGAATTGTCCATTTTTGTTTCGATGTTGGGCGACGATCAGGGAGAATTTAGTGTACCACGGCGTCATTCGTGGCGGACCAAAATTACGTCATTTGGGGGGACATTGGTTGCGATCCCGACCCGGCGAAATTTAGAGAAAAATTACTGTACATTACTGTACGTCCCTGATTGGCGCACAGCTTGGGAACTAAAAAGGACAATTTGAGAAGAGGAGAACACGATAATCGTGAGGTCTCTTCCCAAATTGTCCATTTTTGCTTCCAAGCCGAGCATCGATCAGGGAGAATTTAGTGTATCGTGCGTGGCGTCATTCGTGGCAGACCAAAATTACGTCATTTAGGGAGAAATTACTGTACGGTAAATTCTCCGTTTGGAAAAAAAGATTCGGGAAGAGAAAGCACGATTATCATATCCTTCTCTTCCCGAATTGTCGATTTTGGTTTCCTATCTGCGCGTCAATTAAACAGAATTTGCTGTACTATTGTTACCGGCGCAAGGGACACGGCGATTGTTATCAGAGACTGATATCCGAAATGTTTCGAGTGTTAGGGTTTTGTGCTGGTATTTGTGCCCGTATCGACGCGATTGAACTGCTACAATAAATTCTTCCTAATTTTCCTTCGGCTTGTAAACAAAAATGGACAATTTAGGAAGAGGAGATACGATTATTCGAACGTTATAGCTCGTTTCTTTAAATTGTTCGGCGACTATAAAAAGGAGCCACGAACCTTCGAATAATTATACTTTCTATTCGCAAATTGTCTATTTTCGTTTTCAAGCCGAAGGAAAATTGGAGAGAATTTACTATAGTTGGAAAATTTGTTTTAATAGGAAGGTGACGTCCATACCGGTAAAAAATACCGAAATATTAATAATATCGATGTATAACACCGATACGAGCCCCAGGTTTGGTTACAACGATCGATCGTACCCAACTGCACGAACAGCGCAATGATGCGGCGCCTCCGCGGTCTTCTTTTATTTTTTCGGAACGAGAACAGTAAATTCTCTCCAATTGTATCTTAGCTTGTAAAAAAGAAAGTGGACAATTTGGCAAGATGTTCGAAAAATCGTATCTCCTCTTTCCAAAATTTTCCTTAGCTTGTAAACAAAACTGGACAATTTGGCAAGATGCTCGAATAATCGTATCACCGCTTCCGCTTTTGTTTACAAAATCTGAGGGAGAGAATTTATTTAATTTTGGATGTATAGATAATAAAATTAGAAATACAGGTAAAAAAATTCGCAAAATTCGAATCCGAACTCGAAATGTTTATTCTTCTCCCTATTTTTCAAAGGAGTATCTANAATATTATTACTATTATTACAGTATTATTAATATTATTACTATTATTATAGTGTTATTAATATTACTATTATTACATTATTATTATAGTACTATACATAGCGTTATTAAATGTAGTATTATCACAGCATTATTATTATTATATTACTATAGTACTACGGTATTTCGGTATTTCGCTTTCTACAGAAATGATGAAAGAACGACCGAAAAAATACCGGCACAATGGCGGCATCGGTCTCTGATTGTTATTGCCCGGCGAACTCGTGAAATCGCGCGGAAGTGGTATCGAATGCGATTCGGCTGCGCTTGTTGTCCCGTTATCGATCGGTTGGTGTCGCCGGGTTCCCGATTATAGACATTGCCCGGAGCACAATAGGGTGTTGTTTGCTTGCCACGGCGCCGATTTGATACGAAATTCGCGAGTGGGAGACAAATCGATAGGGAACAGATAGCGCGCGCCTGCCGACTGTGTCGCCGTTAGAGACGTCCGGCAACGGGCAGACGAATAATACTGTGTGTTTCCACGAGCTACGCGTGTGCACGCCCACGCTTCCAGTAGAAACGGCCAGCAATGGGCACGGCCGGGCGGCATTGTTTTCTACGTTCGCACGCCGCGGATCGAGTAGAAACGGTCGATAAACGCGGACACGTGAGGACGGCGTTGCCGGCCGCTTTCTTTCGGACGCTAACGATTGCTAACAATTGCTGAAATGATTCCTGGGGGAACGGGACGTTAATTCTGCCCTCTCGTCCGATTACAGTAATTTTACGGTATTTTTACAGTAATTCTGCAGTAATTTTGCAGTAATTTTGCAGTAATTCTACCCTTTAATCCGATTACAGTAATTTTACAGTAATTTTGCTGTAATTTTGCAGTAATTTTGCTGTAATTATGCAGTAATTTTGCTGTAATTATGCAGTAATTCTACCCTCTAGTCCGATTACAGTAATTTTGTAGTAATTTTGCAGTAATTCTACCTTCTAGTCCGATTACAGTAATTTTGCAGTAATTTAGCAGCAATTTTGCAGTAATTTTACGGTAATTTTACAGTAATTTTGCAGTAATTTTGCTGTAATTATGCAGTAATTTTGCAGTAATTCTACCCTCTAGTCCAATTACAGTAATTTTGCAGTAATTCTACCTTCTAGTTCGATTACAGTAATTTTGCAGTAATTTAGCAGCAATTTTGCAGTAATTTTACGGTAATTTTACAGTAATTTT